GTTAAAAAAAAACAAAAAACAATCTGATTCTAGGAAAAATGGCATTACAGAAAAACAAGGATTTTTTATGGGGGAAAACTCAGTATAAAAGTCGAATTGCACATGTACTGAACAATCCCAAGGACCTGCAATGCCAATTTAGGATTTAAACTAGGATACAGTGTTTGGTCAATCAATGCATACAAGGATTTGTGTTGGTCAATCAATGCATACAAGGATTTGTGTTCATATTTTGTATCATGTATTATTACCGTCATGAATGATGAATTTATTGAAATCTCAGCATGTTTTCTTACACAACATCTAGTGTACATTAGAAACTTTTACAATAAGGCCTACACATATTTAACATTTCAAAACTTTCTAATTTACTGCATCATTTTTACAAGGTCAAATTTAAAGAAATGCACGTTTCTCATCCACTCATATTTTCGTGGGCCGCCGCCTACTCTTTTATGACTGCTATTCTAAAATTAAAATTAAAAGCTTTGATATCACTTGCTCCATCTAAGAAGCTAAATTTTGATTAATAGAAGATCCATTAGCGTGACATAAAAAAGAGGCATGTACTGGTAGCATTTCAAATATTTGTGTCAAAGGACATAAGAAAGAGGGTCAAAGAGGGTCAAATTGCTAACCATCAGACTACTACTGTATAGTAATTACCTATCGAAGTGTCTAATTACTGTCTGTTTACTTTAATGATTGACCATGAATGAGGATGTTTCTATCTTCCAATCACTTCCTCCTAAAGCATTCAATTGATCAACTTCCACAGACCATTAAATTGTTTAGATAATAATATATCTACCACACACTACTATACTAGTCTACAGTCTATCACCATAATGTTAATTTATACAAAAATAACGCTACTATGCAGGCAAATACTGCACAGCAGCTACTGCTAGCTTTGTGGTCTAAAAAGTGTCAAAATGTGGTTTAAAAAAAGTACCATGCAATTTCCAACACTCAATTTTCAGAAATCAAAATTTAGTTCCAAAAAATTCACACAAAACTGGGACGGAACATGGAAAAATCTCAATATTAGAGTATACTACAAGATGTAGATCTACAAAGAAGAATATAGCATTTATTACATTATTTCATTAATTTTTATTTACAGTTACTTAAATTTACTGCATTCTTTTAAAAGATTTTTAAATGTTGGCTGCCAGCGACGAGTATACTCACCCACAGGGTGTTGATGAGGGCGCCAGGGACGAGTACTGTATACTCGTCAAAATCGGGGTAACATTCTAACGTTTATAACTTCTTTGTTATACATTGTAGAACCACAGACTCAACAGCTAGTAGTTTGGGGAAGATACACCTAGACGATAACACACAAATGACGTATGTTTGTTGTGTTACATTGCCGGCAATGCACTCGAGCGGCAACAGGGGGTGCCCTTTGAGCATATATCAACACATGCAAAAAGCAGACGAGATAACTTGCACTTGACATAATCAACAGAAAATGCTATCACAGTGCCGTCAACGGGTTTACTTGTCCCCTAATATTTTCCCGCCAATTTATTAGATTTTGATAATATACAGTATGATTATATTAAATTTTACATGTTTGTACATGTAACTTGTTTTGGCACACGGGAAGCAACCTTAAAAAAAGGTCTGGTAGTCAACATGTTAAAGCATTTGATTAGATGCATGCATGCACTCCAGGCCCACATTTAATGATGATGGTGATAATAAATGGACAGAAAGCTTCAAGGTATACCATAGAGTCTTCATGAATAATATTATTGTTTTAGACAAATTATTCCAAACCTCCAGAGAATGCATGCTATACACGGGTTAATTAGCATAAAGTTCGAGCTGAAAAATAAGCACATCAAGATGGAGTGCCAAAGTAGCAAATGCATGCAGATTAGATTTGTTTGACTCAAATACAGTATAATGAAAAATTGGAAAGTACATAAAATGAGTTTTTCTTCACATTCTTTATATATACAGGAAGGCCTAATACCTGAAATTTAGCATCAATAAGAAAAGGCCTCCCTCAATTAATAAAAGGCATCCTAAATTAATTAAAATGTGGCCATCCTTTTAAAGAGATGACAACCCTTAACCTTTAACGTTAACTAATTTACAGAGGCGATCACCCTGAAAGTGGGCTTCGATTCATCTTTTGTTCTTTTTCCTCAATTAGTTAAAATTTCAACATTTTTTTTAATCATTTTTGTCAACACCTTCATTTATTTATTTTTCCTACTTTTGGTTGTTAGCTTCCATTAAGGTTATTTTTCTTCATTGATGCACCACCGCTGATGTAAATGGTGTCTGTGCAGAGTCAATACATTATTATCTAATATGTTACCCAATTAATCAATTAAATTTTCACCATTTTGACTTCTTGATTATAATTCCAATGATTTCATTGGGTTATGGCCATTCTGAAAAAATTATGGTACAGATCATGGCCGTGGTAGTTACATAACTTGTGATCGGAAACACATATTAATATCCTTTGACCTAACAGAAGACTTTTAAAACTGTGGTGAAACATAACAGCCAGCCACATGTATGCTTCAACCTCAGTAATATTATAATAAAATCATTGTTAATATGATGTGCTGTATAGACTCTAAATCAATATTGACCCAGTCAGTGTGTGACATCCCAAACCACAACACAGTCTACACACCTTCGAGACAACTACAGCAAACATACAGGGAATGTAGGCGACACCTACATGTATATTTATAGATCTCCACAGAAAGGATCTACTAGGATACCATCCTGTGGAGCAAAAGACAAAATAGCTTTACAAATTACGAAGGAGGGTACCCACTGTTTCAGGCCAAGGATACTGTACATATAAAAGTTTCCATTTCACTGTTTAATCGTCACCAATTGACGTCAGTAAAATGGTTTCATTTTAGTTGTTTTCATAACTCTTCTTTGTGTTTACAGTTCAGAGATCACTGTTTACCATTTCACATCCATATTTAGGAATATTGATCAACAATAATCTAACTCAAATTTCAGAGATAACGTCTTGTTTACCAGTTAAGTACCTAAACTTTATTTGTGTTGGAAGTCATTAATATTCCAGTTCTTAGAATTGCAAATTATCAAATTCTTAATATTTTTGTACTGCGATGAAATCAAATTAATTTAGTATAGTATTACATAAACATGTAGAATTTGGAGATATTTTGAATACTACACACACAGCAATTTTTGGGAGCGGAATTATCTGCGGGACAATAAAAAGACTGTACTTCCATTCTTTTAACAAAAATGTCTGAATTTAGTAATACATGTTTGTGATAACAGCATGTTATAAAAGTGTAATGGCTACAGTTAATGGTTAATAAATTTGATAAAGAGTAATCTTTTGCCCATGTGCCTAATGTAAATAAAGTATAACAACACCATGGATTACTATATTATTCCATTCATCATTAAATTAATTGGATCAACCCCAAAAGTCAAGTTCTATCAAGGTTCATGATATACCTAACTTAAATTCAATCATTTATTTTAAATAAAATAAAACAGTTGAAAGCTACAGTATGGAAGATAGACTATAAAATAGAAAAAAAAAACAAAATTAACTGTAAAAATTAGTTATTTTAATCTTTCATTTTAAGATCCTTTTACATAAATTGTATGTTTGTTACTTTTATGTATTTAACTGATCCACTTTGGAAACCAGTAGTTTGTATTGAAAGTATGTTAGAATTAAATAAATAAATAATATTAACATTATAATACAAACAGAGTGTATCCAAGTTTTTATCCACGCATGTAATCATGTAGCTAAGGCTACGTTTAGACTTGGAGATAAGACAGACTTGAGTTAAGCCAGGCTCAACGTTAAGCCCGGCTTAACTAGGAGACGTGTTTCAAAACATTGCTCGCGAAACGTACGCTTGCAAAAACGATTAAAGCCCAGCTTAGAAAAGTTAAACACAGTGGCACGCCAGGCCTAGTTACTATAGGAACACAGCCCAGCTTGAGATAAGCCAGCTAGTTCAGACTGGCAGGTGGATAAACCCGGTGAGTTGATCCGGGTTTTAACCACCTAGTCTGAACTAGCCCTAAGTATATTATGAAAATTAATGAATAAATATTTGTCTTTTACAAAGTTCATTCTTCTGAAATTTCTATGAAATGTTCAAGAAATGGAGGTAAGCGCAGTAAAAGTACAAGGTACTAATTATGCCAAACAAATACAATTCAAATGACATGGCAAAGATAGTTAGAATTCTTTCATTTGTGCTGGCAGCAGTATAGATCTAGTGAAGAATGGGAGGAAGATAACAACAGCAAACAGTCTGCCTACTCTATGTCTAGCTGCACACAGCTATAATCAAGGGTCGATGGGTCAGGAACAATGTATTTTATTCACAGAGAGATAGATATTATTTAATTTATAAACACACATTTTAAAATTTAAATAAAGAAGATATATTTTGGTAATACTAACAGAAAATTTAAGAACACACTATACAACAGAAAATGTGTAGCATAATATTTTGTACATACTCCAAGTATTGAAATACACGCCATCGTGTTGGGATTCAATATTTTTCAACATTAATTATGTCATCATCAGGAATGATGATGACATAATTTATGTCGAAATATTGAATCCCAACACGATGGCGTGTATTTCAATACTTGGAGTATGTATTATACTTTCTTATCTGAGATTAATCAGTGGACCTTTCGGTTTTTATAATATTTTGTATCAAAGTAAATAAACTAATAATTTATTGTCAATAATAAAATTAGTAAACATTAATATTAGATTTCAGACTATTATATTATTTTGCATTTAATTGCATAAGTTGGAAATTGGCATATTAACACTAAAGCAGCTTGCATTAACTATTTATTTTATTTTAAATTTATCTATAACTTAGTACAAATGCACTGAAATTTCAAAATATGTTTTTCTTCCTCACAATAAATGCTTTATCAATATTTTAAAAAAAATTATTACAGTGCATGATTATGAAACTTACCTCCACAATATCATCCAAGTCTTTGACATAACTCCTCTCAGATTCCAATATTTCCTCAACTTTGAACTCTATATATCCAGAATTTCGACTTTTGCTACTGCAAGCGCCATCGGCATCATCGTCCTCATCATCAAAGTCTGTGGAATCTCTTCCGGATAAAATATGATTACTATTGTAGATGTTATTACTGTTATTATTCATTGAATCCTGGCTTCGAGGAGTTGAAACGTTGGATTTAAAAAACGCCTGTTCGGTACTTGCTGAATCCCTTGTTACAACAGGCTCCTCAACTATCTGTAATTCTGTGTCTTCCAATTTATCCGAGGAATAATCTGTACTTCCGTTAACTTCTGTTAACTCACTATCCATAGATCCATGACTCGTGTTAAGGTCCATGCTAGAGTCCTCGGGAAGAGTGGTTTCCATGGAAGACTGTGAATCATTCAGGAGATTTCCATTCAGCATATTCCCATGCTTAACTTCCTGTGGTATTGGCATCTGTGTACATGGGTCGACAGGATTACTATGATCCATGTCTAAATCCTCTAAAGCGTTTGTTACAATATCGACACTACTGCTTTTGTTTGCAATATTAAAAAGAGGACTGGTCCAATCTGTGTCTGAATCTGAAATGGACACATTCAGTTGCGAAGACCGTGTATCTTCATCAGTACTGAACATCCCTATTTTTCCATGACTGTCCAAATCAGATCCGTTTTCCTGCCATGTGTCGCCTATGAGTGGCTCGCATTCCTGAGTCCTGAGTAAATTATTCAATGGTTCTTTGAGGTTAACCCCTTCAGTGTTGGATATTCCTGGGTAAAATCCATTCCTCGTTGAAGCTCTTCCAAAGTTGTTGTCAAAGAGTTCTAAAATCTCCAGAGACATGTCTGAAGGGAAAGAGAAAAAATTCATATTATGCATACCAACCATCCATGCAATACACAGATCATTATAAACGCTGTCGTTTCTGAGTCCTCGGTAAAGTAGCCAATGAAAAGTGAGAATCAATCTGCATGACAAGTATTTGTAGGAGCAATCAATGGAAATCTTACACACATTTAAATAACATTGTATTCACACTATTCTCATCAAACCTTCTCTTGTTGTTACTATACTAAAATGCTGGGTTAAAATCAAATCACCTCAACACAGTAGTAATGAGTGGACAAGGCGCCACATATATTTGTTTTTTAATACCAAATTGGGATTATTTACATAGACAGGGTTTTCAAAGTTCATTTTTCGGTGTCAAGGGTCAACCAGATACAATAAACCAGTGAATCACTATAACTACATGGTAAATTAATTTCATTTTATAATCACATGCTATCAAGATAATTTGAACATAAGCCCATGTGACCTTGGTGATCTTTCACTGAGCAGCTATAGGCTATGGTTGACATACTGTAGTAAAAATATTTTGTCTACTGCCATGGACCTTTGGGGTATTATTATATAAATCAGACTTCTGTATGAATAATTATGTTTATTTGATGAGGTATTGGGTATTGTCATTTAAATAAGAACATAGAGAAGCAAGGCATTGTAAAACTACTTAAAAACTTTTAACTGGTATAGTTACAGTTGTCTTTAAAAAAAACAACTTTACCATATAGTAAAAGTAAACCTATTTAGTTCACAAAATGTATTCATTGTTTTCACTACTACTAACAGAAGTCTATACCAGCTATTTTTTCTATAGGTTCAAATTGTTTTATATATCCTTTTCTTCATGAAGGTTCCTGTGTTTTTCTCTTATGTTCCTTATGAATTCCCTTTGATGTTTCTTTTGTTTCCTGTTTCATGTTCCTCATATACTGTATTTCCCTTATAGATTCCCTTCTTTTACAAATCTGTTAATTAACTTATTATAATTTAAAACAGATTTAATTGTTGAACTTTGTTCCATGGGCAACAGTAAAATAAAAGTATTATATATTGAGAAACAAATCAGACATTGGTGATAAGATATTGCTAAAGATTTACTTATTTACCACAAATCCCATTCAATTAACAGATCTGTCAATTTTGAACTTAGAAACCTCAAGTCAAGTTTAGTTGGGATAATCCTTAAATTGTGTAAGTTACTCTTAGCAAATCATCACAGACCAATATCCCCTTGAGTACAATCTTAAGATTTGATTCATCCTATAAGTAATTATTAACACTGTTAAAATGAAAAGAACACCATGACAAAAAAGGAAGTCCGTGGAAAGGTTGTGGCTAGACTTTATCTAGTATTACAGTAGGTGCTTAATTACAGTACTCTTCACTACGGTTTTTCCTTAATCCACTTTTGAACCATATTTTTGTCGCATGACATGTACTTTTTACTTATAAAAAAAAAAAATGTTCAATATCTTTAATTTTTTTATCTTATTAATGTTGGTTATTTTATTAATTATTAATCTTATTGTGTTATGTAAAAAAATCTTTCTTTTTTTGCTCTAGACATCTACATTTCACTCTCCAATTCAGGACCACCTTTGAGACCTGAAAATTTGGGGTGGTCTCAGGGTTGGTCTCCAAAGGGCTAGCTTTGTGTTAAAAGGTTGAAGAATATTATTTGGGTCTTTGAAAAAATGGTCTCGAATTAGAGGGGTCTCGAATTGGAGGTGAACTGTTCTACTATAGGGCTACTGTATATAGTGTACAGATCGACCCTGCACAGTATAACTGTATTTTATTTTAATAAAGATAAATTTTTATGGTTAAGGCACAAACTTTTGTTTTCAAGCTTTGTTAAAATAGACAACTTGATGATTTGGTTCACTATTTGGAATAAACGTCTCATTGTTCCTCTGCTTATTTACATAATATTTGTCATGTCTAATTGTCTCAGAGAATAATAAACAAAATGAAACCAATATGAAAAGAATCATTGTTTAAAGAAGCCGCCCAGTCTTACCATCCATAACATGAGTCATTAAATCCTATTCACTTGCAAATCTTGGTGCCACTCTCTCCCTTTCTACATTTTATTTCTACACAAATGCTTCTGCTTACTTGTGAAACCAACTTTCCTAATAAAAAAACTTCTTTTACTTCTCTTTGCAACTTTACATCAAAGATTCATTTCTTTCTGGTGGCTATTCACATAAGTTTCCGGCTTTTAGCTTAAATGAAACTGGTGCCATACAGTACTGCATAAAATCAGTAGTAGTATTTATATTAATTATTATTCTTCTTTCTATATTCTAAAGGTACTTTCCATACAGTGTACTGTTTTTCAAAGTCGTAAAGTTTCAAAAACAAAAACATTAAAATGCAAAGAAAGATAAACATCTTAAAATAACAAAAATCTTTAAAAAAAATAAAAAAAATAAGTTTAATGAATGGTGTCATTAAAATAAAAATTAATCCAGATTTATAATAATTTAAGTTAAATAATTTACTTTAAAGAACTGATCCACTTTTATTTTAACAAAATTATGTTCTCCTTATGGACATTCATCAATCACTTTAAGATTGAAACATATTATATGATGGAGCAAGTAAAAGTTTGGCTAATGAAGGTTATTCATCACTTATCTTCACAATGGGAAAGGTTTAAATTTATCTTCAGACATTAATATATTAATGACTTATTTAGGACTAAAACAACTTACATATGATTAAGGAGGTGAATCGTTCGCCTAATGAAGCTTGTCATTAATAAGGAAGGCCAGTACTGATGACTGCATTATTATACAGATCTGCAAATATTAGCATAGCACACCGTGCTTAAGTATTAAATTCTGGTGGCTACTGCATATCGCAGTTTGTGAAATGTACAAAGTCCATAACACACCAAGATTCCATTTATGCATAATTAAGTTTCATGAATCTCTAAATTCATCACTTACCCCATTCTGAAAGAAACTTTTCTTATGGACAGTAGCCCATTACCGGTTATACTGTAGAAAATGATTTATCTTGGTATATTTGAAATGGTTGGAGGTGAGGTAATTCCTTTCTGATCACATCAAATTCTAATCTGTGTTTATCATGGAATAATAATGCCACCAAATACTATTTAACCCTTCAACCCAAGATGCATACTTGCACTTTATCAGAGGAATTTATCTATTAGTCTAGTCAAATGTCAAAAGTTATTAATTTCATAACAAAGTTTACTGTCTGTTGTATAAACAAAATAGCAATGCTTTTTATTAGGACTACAATCAGATTAGAGCCTATGAAAATGAATTTGTTGTCTCCCGATATACTGATATAGGGTACTACATTACTGATATCACAAATCTATGCGATACCCTTCGTTACTGAGTAACGCAACTCGAGATTGATACGGCTGAGTACCTCCTCAGTACGTTACAGTTTACTTAGCTCTTTCTAACTGATCTTTACGAAAATGTTATCTCCAGTTTTTGTGCTTTTTAATCGGAATTGATTAAGTTCTGCTACACATAAGTTGAAAAAGCTATGCTAAAATGTGGTTCAGAGGGAAGGCGCTCATCCGTATTAAATGACTACTTTGTATTTTGTTGCTCAGTTATGAAACAGTGTCAAGTACAGTAGTACCATGGCTTGGCAATGCGGTACTCCATAAAACGTAGGCCTATTTTAATTATTCAATTTTATTGATCATTGTTTGCTTACAAATAGTAAACAAGGTCTTTATTGACTATTGAATTGTTATTCAATCTTTAAATAGATTTAATTACTGTAGAAATGTTTAAACATGCTACATTATGCATCATCATACTATTGTATGAATATTGGAACTTGAACTAATCTTTTTTTGTGTGTGTGTTTATAATAAATACACAATTTTGGTTGTAGCTTATAAGACATGCAGTGAACTTTCATTCTCACGGTCTCACCTCCAAGTAGCGGCTGAGTAAGAAGCTGCGTCATATGAATTTTCCTTTTAGTATTTTAAATGATTTTTTTTTCTCAAAATAAGCATAATATAATCTAAAATTATGGATTTTATGGATGATCCAGTGGAGAGGCCACAGGGGCTAAGACCCCCCCCCCAAAAAAAAAGAGAGAAGAAAAAAAAAAGAAAGAAAAGAGAAAGTGGGATGCATGGTACTCCAAAACAAGCATACCGGTGTCTAAGATTAAAGCCCCATTCCCGGCAAAATTTCAATTTTTAAGAAAAATCTAATTTTTGTATAATGTTATAAAGATTTATAAATATAATACGGAAT